CTTTATTTCTGTGTCTGAATTTTCATTGGCAGACCCCTTCTCAGGCTGACCCACCCTTGGCCTGCACAGAATTGTGCTTTCTGCCCTTCAGTCTCCTGTGAGGGTGAGATGTGCATAGTTAGAAGTTTCTGGTTTGTGAAAACATATTAGTCTTGTAGCAAATCCTATAGGCTTGGCTCATTAAAGATGATAATTAGCCTATTGCTAATTGAACTCAGAAGCCAGCCAAGCAGCCTGTATTTTACCAGTCTTGGTGGTAGATTTGAAGGCTATTTTAAGGTTTCTTAATAATCTTAGCAAGACTTCACTTTTCCTGTCTGCATCTTATTTGCTCTGAGGACATTCTGTAAAATTAACAAGCTATAAAGTTTGATTGAAGGTTTCAACAAATGTGAGAATAATTGGCTCCATTTAAGAGCAACAAGAAAAACAACCTGTAAACTTGAGTTTGTGGGGGGAAACCTGTGTGATTTTTTTCTCTTTAACTAGAGGAGCAGTAGCAAGCTAGACTTTTTCAGATCAGAAAAAAAAAAAAAAAACTGGCTGATAGTGCAGGTTTAAATTCTGATTCCCACAAGCCAAAAGTTCAGCAAAAGAAATCTTACAAAATGACTAGCAACTGTTTTACTCATGCCTTCCAAGAGGCCTGTTTGGAGAAACAGGGACCCAATAAAAATATTGTGAGTTCCTCTTTCCCTAGAGCTTGCATCCAGAGGCCTGGTTCAGCTCTCCAACCCCTACTCATATTCCCTGGCTACACAGGGGTTTTCTCCTTCCCAGAGGCTGCTCTAGGGTGCTGCCTTGGAACTCAGTGTTGTCTGGTGGTCAGTTCCTTTTCTCTCTCATCTTCTTCCCACCTTCCTTCTCTCTCACCTTTCCCCATCACTGGACATCTCTGTCCAGGCTGTGCTGGTCCCTGCAGGATGGCTAGGAGAGTTACTGCTTTTCAAAATTCACCATTCTTTCTTACTAATCCACCTCCCCACTTATGAAGACCAATAAGCCGGACTTCTCCAAGGTTCTTCCTGCTTTTCTCAAGACCTAGCTTTCTCCTTGTCCCCAGCTCTCACTCCCCTACTGCTGGCTCATGTTATTTTGCTAAGGAACTGAGCCTGGAACAGGACAGGTGCCACTATCGCCTCCCCACACTGAGCTTTCAGTTTTCCTTTTTGCTTGGCTCTTTGCGTGTGGACCTGATGGGGTGATAACTGGAGCCCTGAAGCTCGAGGTTTCAGTTCCTGCTGATGATGGGGCAAGCTGCCTCAGACAATGTTTAGGGGAAAAGGAAGGGACTTTCTTTGGGTGCCTTTCTTTCAACTTTTCCCTGATCTAAAGCCCCAGGTTTTGTTCAGAACTGTAATGATTCATGTGAGCATTTGTCCGTTAATTTTTTTGGAGTTCTTGATAATCCCCTATATTGGGTCTCCCTGCAGCAGGCCCAGGACTGCCACCAAGAAGATGCACTGAAAAGGTGCTCAGGCCAGCAATCCTTTACCTACCTCTAGCCCTAGTTGAGCCCAACTGTCACTACCCCAGAAGCTTCTCTTCCCCAGCTCTTTCTTTTCTAGAAGATCTACTGTTTGTTTACCCACATTGCAATGAACATATACCATTTACAGTCTCAGCTTTTCATTGATACAGAATGGAAAAATGTGCTCATGAACAGAGTTTCTGTGGGAATTATGTCATAGATTTCATCTGGACTCCTTCCTCTCCAAACAGGGAACCTAGCTTTAACCCCTCTCCTACCAGGAAGTCCTCCTTGGACAAGCAGATAATCTTGGAGTTTGCTGTTTGCAGGCTGTTTGAAAGACTTCCCCTATTAACCATATTAAACTGCTTGTGTTTCTGTCATCTTCATTTTTTTTTGTATTGCCCTGATTTTACTACTATAGACTTTGAATAGGAGAATATTTTCACAAGACTTTTGGAGAATGCCACAGGGAAGGGAGTTGTGATCTTCTCCCGTAGTACTAGACTTACTATTCCAACATGAAGGAGGAATTGTCTCACACATGACAGTAGGTTTTTCCAGACTCTGGGCAAGCCCTAGACATTTCTGCCTCTCATTTCTCACTGTCCCACTGTCCTTAGAAATCTAAGGAGAATGTGCACAACTGTCTCTGTTCTCCCTGCTGATTGGATTGCAAAGAAGAGAGGATACTCCTAAAAGACTAGATAAATTTTCTCTCTAAACCATCAGCAGACTTCTTAGTACCAGCTGAAAGACCCAGAATGAAAGAAAGTCTTTTTGGTCAGTTCGACAGTAGTGCCCTTGCTCTAGAGGAAGAATCATGAACATAGCATACAGAAAGCTTGGAAATGAAAAGCAGGGTGGGGAGAGACTTATTTTTGCTTGTCTGCCACATGGTGGACAATTCCCACTGAACCTCTAAGGATGTGCAGCAGGCAGGCGCAGGATGTCTGCCTCCCAGGGTCCTGCTGTGCCCTGGAAATCCCCATCCCCAGGAGTCCCACGTCCACACATGTGGCCTTTCTCCCTCTTGGCCAGGATTCACACACTCTTCCTGAGGCAAGCAGCTTACCACCCAGCCTGTACCCTATCAGCAATGATGCTCCTGCCCACCTGTCTGAAGACTCGCTCATAGCACACTGTCCTTCCTTGGGTAGGTTTCTATTGTAGATTCAGCAAGAGTTCCTGTGCTCATTCAGGTGAGCCAAGGACCATCTCAAGCTTATAATGTCCTCTTCTCTGCCCTCTTCTCATCCCTTCACCTCTACCTCCTCCCATTCAGTGGCAGCAGCCTCATGCCAAAAAGGAAAGTCCTAGACCCATTACATAATTCTCCATAGTGCAAGCAGTAGCTGGGCCGTAAGGTCAGAGGTCATAGTGGGGTCAGGTGGCTGACACACACTGTAACGACAAGGTGGTTAAAATTAGACCAGAGAGAGGAAACTGGCAGCCTTGTGGAAATGCAGAAGTTTCCTCTGTAAGTGAGAGGCTGTGGATGCAGGGAGGCCACTGTGCGTGCTGCCTGCCAGGCTATTACTCATTTCAGCTCTGTTCTTTAATGCCTTTTAGCCCCTGCTTCTGTATTTCTAGCCTTCCCATGTTTGAATACACGCTATGGAACCATGGTTACCTGACCTGACCCAAGGCAGGGTCTTCCTTCCTCCTTCAGGAAGGTAAGCCTAGGACCAGGCACCCTAATCTCAAGAGGCTTTCCTTTTTCTAAGCCTCTTTGCAGTAGCAGATAACTTTTTTGGCCTGCCTTGGAGATAGACATGGTTAAGGTACTTAGCCTGAGGTTCCAGCTTACAGTGACCACAGGTCCCTGGTGAATGGTGCCAAGGCTGGGAAGAAGATGACAAAGAATAATCACGGGGTACTCAGGTGACTGGTGTGTGCTGTACTTTCTTTGGTCAGCCCACCTGGCTGATTGCTACTCATTTCCACAGTGACCTAGAGAACACGTATCATGCCCACATCATCTTCTTGTTTACTCAACTGAGTTTCACTGAGACTTCTGGTGTTTGCTGTAGACCTACTGTGTGCTCTAATTATTCTCCAGCCCTTGCCAGTGAAGTGTGAAAAGTATGAGATGTCATCTTTGCCGCCAGAGAGCTTGTGGTCCTTAGATGAGGGAGATAATAAGCCCACAAATGAACCAAGTCATTCTCTATAACAGACCTTCACTGCGTGATGCAGCTCTGAGTCCTTTTCACATTCAGAAATGGGAAGGCAACCTGGTGTGGGTGGCATACGCCTGTAATCCTAGCTATTCAGGCGGCTGATATCTGAGGATCATGGTTCAAAGCCAGCCAGGCAGCAAAGTCCATGAGACTCTTATCTCCAATTAACCACCAGAAAAAAAAACAGAAGTGGTACTGTGGCTCAAGTGGTAGAGCGCTAGCCTTGAGCTGAAGTGCTGAGGGACAGCACCCAGGTCCAGAGTTCAAGCCCTATGACCAACAGAAAAAAAAAAGAAAAGAAAGAAAAAGAAATGGGAAGGCATAAAAAGAAGATTGGGGCATTCAGTGCGGTCTGGACTCATAATGATATGGGGGCTGCCCCTGGTGGTGTGTCTAGCCACTGCAATGTGTTTCCCATGTGGAGCCACCCTCAGATTCTGAGAGCCCTTGGTGTGCACCCTGCCAGTAGGGAAGACAGGATCCAGCGGTCGGCAAGGGCAGACAATAGCAAGAACAGAGAAGAGTGCAAACAACCTAGGTGGGACTGAGGGTGAAGGTGTATGTATGTATGTATGTGGTCTCACAGGGAAGACTAGATGACTGGATACTTATATCTGAGACACTAACAAATTCGAAAGTAGCTCAGAATAATGAATTTCCTGTCAGCCACATGAGCCCCCACTTATCTGGCAGTACCAGCAAGTATACATGGCAGCAACTGGCCTGAGTCCTGGATAAACAGAGCTTTTGTAGAACACCCCCACCTGCTCTGCTCAACTCTCTTCCCAAAAGTGTCCTGCCTGACCCCAGTCTCTGGGGCATAAGAAGCTTTAAGGTAGGGCAGGAACTTCTCAGAGAGGCTCAAAGTGACCTGGCTGAGATGAAACAGCTAAGAAAGCTGCAGTCATTCACTTTGCACTTGGGCTGCCAGTTCTCCTGGAGGCAACCTGGGGAGGGGCAGCAAGGGGAGCCACAAAGCAGTGTTGTGCTCTCCACTCCCTCCTGTTGATAGGATTCCAAACTTAGAAGAACTTAATTTATTCCTTTTTTTTTAATATCAGGACTTTTGTTTAAAAAAAAAAAAGCACCCTGAGGGTACCTGGCATCAGTCCTGGGGTGTCTGCTGCCCTAGAGATGACCTAAGGCAAGACCCTGGGACTTCCTTCCTTCAGAAGACCTTGGTCCTCGGCCCTCTCTCACCTTGCACACGCACGCTCCTGCCCCTCATACTGCCTCCCTTCCAGTAACTTCGACACACTTCTCACGTGCCCTGCAGCCAGCAGTGTCTCTGAGCTTCATCTTCCCCCTCAGAAATGCTGTTTTTCTTCTCTTCTCCCACCCTGTAGGTTATTGCAGCCGACTGCAAAAGGGTCACAGTGCTGAAGTATTTTCTGGAAGCCCTTTGTGGACAAGAAGAGCCTCTGCTGGCATTCAAGGGTGGAAAATATGTGTCAGTGGCACCAGTCCCAGACACCATGGGAAAGGAAATGGGAAGCCAAGAGGGAAAACAACTGGAAGATGAGGTACTATTCGGGAAGAGCCCACTGTGGCAGGGGAGGCTCCCCTCCCCCTGCCCAGACTGCAGCTTCTCCTCGGGATTATTTATAACCACTCAGAGCAGTGTCTCTGTTGATGGGACAGCCAGCTTCTTGAGATTGCACTCCGCTGGTGTCCCTTACTGCCAGTCTACCTCCTTTGCCTACATCTCACTATACTACGAGTTCCAGATGCTTCTTTTTAATGTTGCACTGGAGGAGAAAAGAGGGAAAGAAAGAAAAGAGTTTAATAATGTGCAGCTCTGGAGGCTTAGGAAAGGGAGTGGGGAGAGGGGGGTGTTAGAGTTCAGGCTGAGGATCAAGTTTATAGATGTGCAGTGCTCAGTGCAGCACAGGCCTGAACTCCAGCCTCCAGCACACATACAGGAAGAGCTGACATTGCTGGCCCCGGGTGGAAAATCACCCCTCCCCCAGTCTACTCTCCCTCCCTTGCTCCCTCCCTCCCTCCTGCACATCCTGATGTGATTAAGGAATTCTCCTCTTGTTTGTTTGCCCTTGGTTGTTCCTGTAGCCCTTGCTTTATTCCAGACTCTGTGTGTATGTGCGCACACACATGTGTGCACCAGCCTGTGTACCCACTGCTACAGACCTCACTGACAGTTGTCCTACCCATCATGTATATGTCTTTCTGAGGATGACATTGAAGTGGCCCTACATTGCCTGGTTTGTGTGTTGGTTGGAGTGAACACTGCTGCCAGCCCTTCTGCTGTCTGTGGGTTCTTAGCACATGTGTGTAACAGTGTTGGAGCATGTGTGCATTTAACATCACTGTCGCTCTCCCTGCTGTGCATCTGGGCATAGATAATTCTGTCTGGTTGTGCATACACATCTCACTTTTCCCTGAAGGTTGATTTTCCTTCTTTTTCCCCACTTTGTTAAAAACAGGGGTCTTAGGTGGGAAGGAATGTGGGAATGAGGAAAGGGACGGAAGCAATTCTAGCCAGAGGCCAGGTCACCCATAGGCCAACACAGTCATTTGGCCTGCAGCAGTCTCAAGCGCCCGGTGGAGCAGGGTGGGGTGCACCGATGAAATCAGCAACAGGCCAAGGAAGCCAGATGTCAGCTGGAAGCTGTCATTTGGGATCTGAGGCAGTGATAGAGTGGCCACCTTTGGAACAGAGTCTTCAGAGCAACAGTATTGGCCCGGCTTCATTGGGATAGCTGGAGAACCCCACCCCATGCCTAATGACACAGCGCTCAGCTTCCAGGACAGAGGTGGTTCCAGGGATACGGCTGAGCCCAGGATTCCAGACTCTCCAGATGAAACCTGGGCAGGGAATAACGGGAAAGAATGAGCTGTCAGCGTGGGAGGAGACAATAGAGTTGCCAAAGCCATGGGGATGTCCACACTTAAGGCATTCGGAGTAGTGGCACCACATCCCTGGCACTCGTGGGAAGATTGGGGCAGAAAGCTGTGCTTCTGTCCTTTGTCTCACCTATACTGGAAGGCAGGGATAAACATGGAGAATAAGCTAGTCTCCAGCCAGTAGTGTAGAGTCTGCAGCACAAGTGAGTGAGAAAGGAGTGTCTCCTGTGTCACAAGGAGCAGACCAGCTCTCTGGACCCAGATCTTAGCTGTGCCCAGGTCATAGCTCTGCCTCCTTCTGAGGCTTTCTGACCAGGCAAATGTTTGTGACCCACACACGGCTGCCCACTTCTTCCTTTTCCCACGAGCCTCCTGGGTTCCTTTATGTTAGTGGTCGCTGGGAAACCCTACTTACCCTGGTCTGTGTAATTTCATAACCTTGCACTTCCTCGTTTGCTATGAGAGCTAAGCAAACCTCAGACAAGCTTCTCTGACCCTCATTTGACCTTAATCCAGCTCATTTCAGGCACATGATAACCCTGTGCATCACTGGTCCAAGGAGGCAGGGGCACTGTTCCCTCACAGGGCCAGCAGGCATCCTATCTCCACTTGCTCCTATTCTGTTAACCCCTAGAACAAGAAAGCAAATATTTAGTCTTCCTCCTTCCCATGGGTGGGGGTTAACAAATGAGTGGTGCCTGGGAATAGCACCCAGACCCCTAGACCTCTCAAGACAGCAACAGTTTTAGCCCCATCCTTAGATCTGATCTCTCCCCTCAACTACAAAACAAGTCACTGAGACCATTGGAGGAACTAGAAGATGCTTCAGCATCTTTCTTTGTGAATAGGACAGAGTCTAGTTTGGGGATATTGCCTGACCACCCATCCTCCACTGGACCCTGCTCCCTGATCACCTACATACTCACCCACTTACTTAACTTCCCTCTGCCAAGAAGATCACAGACAGAAAAGAGAACAGTTTAGAATAGCCTGACAAAGCTGAGCCGTTAAGGTCTGGGTCTTGGCCTTCTGTCTCAATTTAGGAATCTAACCCTATGGGTTTGCTTGTTATGATTAATAAGGATATAGACTTTTTTGTTGTTTTCTTACTTGCCTTAGGGCTCAAACTCAGGGCCTAGGCATTGTCCCTGAGCTTTATTTGCTTGAGGCTAGTGCTCTACCACCTGAGTCACAGCTCCACTTCTGGCTCCACTTTTGGTAGTTTATTAGAGATAAGAATCTCATAGTTTCCTGCCCAAGCTGGCTTCAAATTGAGAGCCTTAGATCTCACCCTTCTGAGTAGCTAGGATTACAGGTGTGTCACCAGTGCCTGCCAAGGGTACAGCCTTTGAAGTCAGACTTCCTTAGATTTGAATCTCTACTCTGCCAGCTGCTACCTATGTAACATTGTCTTTCTCCAAATTTTGGTTTCTGAATTTTATAAAGAAGGGATGGAGCTGGGCACCGGTGGCTCACGCCTGTAATCCTAGCTACTCAGGAAGCTGAGATCTGTGGATCACCGTTCAAGCCAGCCCAGGCAGGAAAGTCCGTGAGACTCTTATCTCCAATAAACCACTAGAAAACTGGAAGTGGCCCTATGGCTTAAGTGGTAGAGCGCTAGCCTTGAGCTGAAGAGCTCAGGGAGAGTGCCCAGGCCCAGAGTTCAAGCCCCCATGAACTACCCCCCCCCAAAAAAAATTGCATAAAGAAGGGATGGAAGCCAGGCACCAATGGCTCACACCTATATCCTAACTGCTCAGGAAGCTGAGATCTGAGGACCACAGTTTGAAGCCAGCCTACACAGCCATCTCTGAGAGACTCTTGTCTGATTAGCCAGCAAAAAGCTAGAAGTGGAGTATGGCTGAAGTGGTAGAACACTGGCCTTGAAAAAAAGCTGAGCAAGAGTACAAGGCCCTGACTTCAAGCCCTAGTAGTATACGCACACACAGGCATACAAACACACACACAACAAAACAAAGATATGTTTAGAGCAGCTATTTCACAGGCCATTGTGAGGATTGAATTAGTTAATATATGAAAAATGCAAATCTCAGTACCTGGCTAATAAGCCCTAAGTAGATGGTAGCTATTGATGTAGTTATCATCATTATCATCCTATTACAATCATAGGAATCATCCCCTGCTGCATTTCTCCCCTTGTACCCTTGCTGACTCTGTCCCTCGAAGCTCTCTGGGGCAGCTGCATGTTCTCTACTGACCAAGGCCAAAAGTGAGAGAGAGAGGAATGGAGCTGGGACCACCCGGGGAGCAATGGCTGTTGAGAGCTGAGGCTGCAATCAGGGAGGTGCCATCCCTGGGGAAGGCTGTGCTTGCCTTAAACTGCTCCTTAAGTTAGCTAGCCACCTCCTACCCTGCCCAAGCTCTGGAAGGGCAGCTGAACAAGGCCATGTCATGTGAATTCCTGTAATTGGGCCAAGCAGTCCCCACACACCACCAGGCTGTGGTCTTAAAAAGAAACCAGAGCAAGGTCTGCTGAGCGACAGCATCTGCTCCTGATGCTCTCTGGGGCAAGGAAGCCCCATCATGTAACTCACAGATGTTGGCCAGAGTTGATTCCTATCAGTTCATTAGCATGAATTAAATTTAAATTGGGCAGTTTAGCTTTCCCTGTTGTTTACCCTTTTGAATCATTTGTGATTTCAAAATGAAAACAGGTCCGAAATTGGACTCTGTGAATGTGCATGAGGGAGAATAAGGAGTATGAATTCAAACATACACATATACAGGTATAATTGTGTGACTTAGGTGTGAATAGGTAAGAAAGGAACCCTGGAGTGTAAAAGGAAGCAATTTGAGGGAAAGAGTAACAGATTTTCTCAACCTCCTCTTCTTGAAGAAGGGAAACATAAGCTGGGGCATTGTGGGCAAAGAGTAGTTGCATGCACTGGGGCTGCAGGGGCAGAAGGATGATTCAGGAAGTACCTGGCTCTCATCTTCTTTACCCTGTGGTCTTCTTCATCATCCAAAGGAGGAGGACGTGGTGATTGAAGACTTTGAGGAAGATTCAGAAGCTGAAGGCAGTGGGGGTGAGGATGACATCAGGGAACTTAGGGCCAAGAAGCTGGCTCTAGCCAGGAAGATAGCGGAGCAACAGCGTCGCCAAGAGAAGATCCAGGTGAGACCTGTCTGGGAAGCGTGATCCCCATGTAGAAGTGGCTGTACAGGGTGTGTGGGGACGTGGGTAGATAGCGGGAATAAGTAGGCCCCTCTCAGGAAGCAGCTGCATGTCTTCTACTGACCAAGGCCAAAAGGGAGAAAGTAATGGAGCTAGGAACCCTCCATGTCTTGTCCAGTTCCTCCCAGTTTTCTTACTCCACCACCACATTCAGGTAGCTTGTCTGTTGCCTGTAGTCTCCTTCTTTACAAGCTCCAAGGCAGGGGTGAGGTCTTCCCTGACAATATGATGAGCTGTTCGCCCCAGGAAGGCTCTATCACTTACACCACCACACATGTGTGGTTCTTCATGTAGTTTCAGGGTTTCAGAGTTCCTCTGCACCATACCCAGATTCTCATGGAGAGAATACCTTCTTGGGGGAAAGAGTATGGTAAACACAGGCTACTGATCTAACTTTCCAATGTCATGGACATATACACTCCACACCCTCCCAGAGAGAAGCTACCTGATCTCCATGAAAAGACTTCCCTACTGTTAGCACTCTTGGGGACCCAAACCTTCACGTCCAACAAGTTTTTCTGTATGGCTTTCCCAGGTCTGTCTCTTTCTTATCTAAGGCTTAGAGCGAGCAGGGAAGAGCCACTCATTCACCCCCTTTATAGAATGTATGCATGAGGAAGTATTAAGCTACCCTCTTTGATTTCTCTAGGATAGATATATCTTCAGCCTTCTGCTCAGTTCCCCATCTCCAGAGCATAGGGTCAGGCAAACCTGATTATAATCCAGGCTCTGCCATTTAATTAACCTTGTGACATTGGGTAACTCATGTAACTTCTCAGAGCCTCGTTCCTCATCTACAAAGTGAAAGTACTAACAGCACCTACCTCTTCATGTCTCGGTGGTGAAGCCTGAATAGGGCAGTACACGTAAGATAAGTAGCACCGCACATGGGTCCTCTGTCTGAGAACAGTCTAATCGCCTTGCCCTGGGAAGGAGAGTGGTAGCAATTTGGATTCATCCTCCTTTAGACACACTCCTGTTCCACTGCACCTGGATTCCTGTATGCAGTACCTCTACCAGCCTATCTGTTTCAACACATAGTATGGCTGCCTGCTTCGCTTCCTGAGGCTATAAACTCGAGCAGTCCAAAAAGCAGCCTTGTTCTCAAGCCTTTTGACTTGTGCTTTTCTTCCAAAAGTTCTCCCTCTTCTACTCACTAACTCCATAACTTGACTCTCAATCCTGGAACTTGATCACAAATCACCAAGGACATATCTTTATCAAACTTCAGTCCTCATCATAGATATCTTTCCTGTAGCTTTGGGCTCTGAAGCTCTTTTCCTCTCCAGCTTTCCCTTAAGCATGTATGAGTGAGCATTTTGTCTTCTCTCTGCTGATAATACCATCCTCATCATTGTATTTTTTTCTTTCCTCTTTCCTTTCTAGTACTTCTTAGACTTAGAAAGTTGAGCTGATGTTTAGCAAATATTTGTGGTTGACTTCATAAATTATATCAGAGAGATAATCATTTTGGTTCTATCCTAGCTTTTAACCCATGCTATTCAGTTCTTTCTGATCCTATCTGTCATTTATTCCCTCCTCCCTCCCTATTCCTATTGTCACTACTATCCTGGTTCAGGGGCTTAACTTGAATTGTAACAGTCAAGGCCTCTGCATTGCACAGCTTCAGAAATGTCATTGATCTTATAGTCTGGAAATGGCCTCTCCTAGAATTCAGTACCACAAAGCTTCTGTTTCATCCCATTTTCTGCCAGCACACTATGTCTTCCCCAAAGAGCCATTCCCTTGCTTGGAACTCATCAGTGCCTTCCTTTGCTTGTCTAGTGAAATGCAATCTAATTCCTTCTACCATTTAAGACTATTTGAACTTCCCAATCTATTTTTCCAACCTCTTCTCCCACTGCTGCCATCACTAGATGTGTGACATTGGACATAACTAACTTAGCTCTAAGTCTGTTTCCTCATCCATAAAACGGCTCCTACCTTGCAGAGTGAACTGTGAGACCTTGGAATAAGCAACTGTTATGGAATACTTGTCTCATCACTAAGGCCCTTATGCCTGATGGAGACACTGATCTTTCTCCCTTCTCACTGTCGCTAAACACACTCCACCCTTTCCTACTCTTAGTTCTTTGTTGATGGCTGTCCCTCAATCGAAAGTACCTTTTTCTGTTCCACATTTCCTGTTACCTGTTGAAATTCTATTTCCCTTTCAATCCCCAGGTGAAACTCCATATCCCCAGTGAAAACTTGCCTGATTTCCCCCAGGAAGTATTTCATCACTCTGCTTAGTGTTCCTGTAGTGCTGATTTACACTTCATTTAGAACTGCTATCATGTCTCCTATTACAGTTATTTCTTGGTTTGTTTCCCTCCATGTATTATGAACTCCTTGGAATCAAAGACCATGTCTTTAACTCAGTTATTAATCAAGTAATGTTGAACAATGACTTTTCTGGTGGCTAGGGACACAAGTGAACAGAAACATGACATTCCAAAGTGCATGGTATAGTGAAGGAGTCAATCCCTAAACATATAATACATGATTTGACATATTAGTGATTTTTTTCCAACAAGACCAAGTAGGGCCAGACACTAGTGGCTCATACCTGTAACCTCAGCTGTGCAGTAGGCTAAGACATGGAGGATTGCAATTTTGAAGCCACCTCAAACACAAAAGGCTATTAGATTCCATCTCCAATTAACCAGCAAAATGTTGGACCCAAGACATGGTTCAAGTGGTAGATCACCTGCCATGAGCAAGCAAGCCAAAAAAGCCTGAATTCAAGCCCCAGTACTGACTGACACACACACAAAATAAAAATAAAATCAAAGTAGGCCCAGATATGGTGACCCGTGCCTGAAATTCCAGCACTTAGTAAGCTGAGGCAGAAGGATCAAGAGTTTGAGGATAGTCTGGGCTACACAGCAAGTTCAGTGCCAGCCTGGCCTATATAGTGAGACAAGGATCCAACTCCGGCCAGAGTGCTGTGTCTAGTTTGGATACTCGAGCAACGAGTAACCTTAATAAGTGGAAGCCTAATGTGACTGACTTTCAGTGCCACTAGCTGGCCCTGTCCTCAAAGGCATGCTATGGTCGGCAAAAGTGTAGACTACTATGGCCCCTTTAAGAACAGGCCCCACATGCACTACTGCTGGCGGCCCTGCCTCCTGTCAGCCTCCTTCCTCCAGCCTCATAGCCACAGGAGGATTTCTCAGCAGAGGAAAAATTCCCCCCTCCAGTTCCCCCCCTCTCTTTAATGCCCGGGGCCCTTCACTTCCATAATTCTTCATTTTCCAGCCTTGAACGTAAGCCAGACACATCTGTCTGGCCATATGCGTGAACCCTGGAGTCTGTGCCGAGGTGGCTGTAAAACAGGGCCGGTGAAGGCCCTTCTGGGAGAGCACACACATGTGTGTGCCCTCGGGCCATTGGCTCCCTGCCCAGAACCACGGGGCTTCAGCGCTCCAAACCCATGTTAACCTTCTCTCTTTTTCCTCTTTTTGTTTAATTTAAGGGGGAAAATCCCAAGGAAAAGGTATAAATTGTCCTGGGAGTGAGGGAGAGGCTCCTAGCTAGAGAGGCCATTATTGTTGGCAGGTACCTGGGTCACACTAATACAATAAGGAAGAAAGGAGCATCGAGTGAATTAAGATCGGAGAGATGGGCTGTAAATTACACTGCTCTGAACCCCATCAGTCTCTGGGGTGTTAACCGAGAGGTGTAAGGCAAGTCCCCAGCTCCCAGTGCCTTTTACAGATGCAGCAAAACAGGAACCACACATGTTTGGGGAAGGGGATATGAAGATGGGGTTGAAGAAAATCCCACTGGCCCTCAGGATAGCTATAAAGTCCAAGTGAGATCTGGGGCCACACCCCCACTTTCCTGCTGCTCCCACCTAAACCCCTGGGCCTCAGCTCATCTGTGGGGATGGGGGAGGTAAGTTCTGCCTTCCCTCTGTAGCCTGTCCCTCCCCGCTTCCGGCACTGCACAGAGGCTGGTAAGTGGGGCCGATTGGAGGTCAAAAAAGGGGTGTGGGGAGCTCTGGGGCCTGTGCAGCTGGAGCTATAGAGTCCAGGCAGGGCCCTGGATGTGGGGGGCACAAGTCCGCCCACCCAGGGCTTGAGGCCACACTCTCTGGCTCAGGCCCGGCTTTGCCTTGTTGCCTGAGAAAGTGCTTCCTGGTAGGTTGGTCTTGCTCACCTTCCTGCTTTCAGCCTGAGTTCTTCTCATTCCCACTGCCATTCTTGGGAAGTGTCCAGAGACCAGAGCAGGGTACATGGTTTGTCTGGGAAATTGGTCAGAAGTGTTTCATTCCTAACCAGGCCCCCAGGGCCAAGCAGTCACTGAAAATCCTCCTTCAGGCATGAGGCGTGGCCTCTTGGCACCTCATACTGGCCCTGGCCCTGTGAATCCCCTGCCTCCTCCCTGCCTCCATGAGGCTATGCTGTGATTTGTGCTCCTGTCGGGCGGGGTCAGGTTTCCTGAGCAGTTGCAAACATCCCACCTGAAACATAACAGGCTCTTCCTCTGTCCACAGCTATTGTTTCCTTCTGCATTATGGCCACAGTCTTGCCCTGTAGCCAGCAATGACATATGTTCTGAAAATAGCTTTGCTCCCCTGTCCCCTTCCCGCCCACCCACCCTCCTGAAGATGCAGTCACTCCTTTGTGGTAGCCCCAGGAGTTTCACTCTAAATATAGTCACAGTCTGCTCATACTGCCACCCAGCTGGGGAGGGGGGTTGTGGAACAATGGGGTATGCAGAGAGCCCCAACACCTGTATGGAAGCTAGCGGAAGGCAGACACTCAGCCCTGGCTCCTAGCTGTCGAGGCAGGGTGGGAGCCAACATACTACCAGGCCAGGGGCACGTTCACGCCAAGGCAGGAAAGCACATCAGCCTGCGGAGCCCGGCACCGCCCAAGCCCACTCCAGCCTCTCCACACCAGGGTGCGGGCGTCCAGTTTACTCTGGCTTCT